GTTTTTATTATAATTAATTAGCTTATAATTATTAGTATAATTCAGTTATTAGAAGATAAATTAGCATTAAATATCACATTTGTAAAACTTTATCTTTACAAGTTAGGATAAGATTTTCTAGTTGTATTAGGTTTTGTTATACACAATTTTTAGGCTAATTATTTAGCTTATAAATACGTGATGGTGTTTAATGAAGAAATTTTTCGTAAGCTTGTGCTTGTGTATTCTTGGCGTAGTTTAGGTTTTAAGCTCGTGTTGCTTAGTGTTTCGAAGGTCATATTGATTGGATTCGTTCTCCTTCGATTTTAAAGCTTTTGAGGTGATTCTTTTATTCAAATTGGTTAAATTTTTGTCTAGTTTTCACCTCCAAAATTTGAGAATTTTTCGAGGAGCATAGATATTAAACTGAGTTCATTTTTTTGCAACTTGTCAAAAATCGACCTAATCTGGCAGTGTTAAGGGAAAAAAACTCCGACCACTTGACTTAGAGTTTTTGGTTGAGTATTGTAGACATATAGGGGTAGCATCGTACGAAATTTAGAAGTTTTCGAGGTGTTTTAATTGGGTTTGGTCCTCACACTTTCGATCAATTTGGATTGTTTCTGTGTGTTTTCTCATCCAACATGGAGAATCAAAGTTTGTTTGAAGCAATTAGGGTGGAAATCAAGAAAATGAATGAATGTTTGGATAGAATTGAAGCACGACGTCAATGATTTAATGTGAGATGTGGTTTACAAGATTTGTCTTGTGAGAAGGAGAAAGGAGAATAACATGTTGTTGAGGCTATATATATGAAGAAAAGATTGTATCTTTACCAAGTGCTAATGTGACATATCCAATCTTGGAGCAATCTTATAAATGTGTAGTAGAAAAAAAAAAAAAAAAAAAAAAAAAAACTATACTATGGAGCACAAAGATGTACTTTTGTCAAGTTTCATCTTTGATGAGGAAGATAAATTTGTGGCATCTAAGTTGAAATCAAAGGTTTAATTTCTAACCGTTGTAAAAAAAAAAAGTTCTAATTTCTTCTACCCTTTGACGATGATGATTGGGATGCAAATATTTTCACGGATTATTTCAATAATATTAATTGTATTGACAAAGGTGTGTCATCAATTATTTAGGCTAATTATTTAGCTTATAAATATGTGATGGTGTTTAATGAAAAATATGGTTGATTGATTTGAAATTTATAAAGTTGTACGTAAGTTTGTGCTTGTGTATTTGTCCTAGTTTAGGTTTTAACCTCGTGTTGTTTAGTGTTTCTTGACCGGGACTCAAGATTCCAAACCTTTCAACTGCGATTGAACATTATTTTTTATTGAAATCCATGTCAAATTTATTTCCTCTTTAGGTACAACATGTTTGTACCAACTAATGTCACAACTTTTGGGCAGATTATGGATTGTTTATGTTGAATATTATCCAACAAATTAGACCCAATCAAATGGAAATTGATATTAACAGTCGAAAAACTGATTTGACACCCTCTCCTGACACTCATCAATTCCGAGCATATTTTCCTCTACTTTCAAGAGTGGCAAAATTAGGAGTGTAGTAATTAATTGAGAAACACATGTTTCCTCCATATAATTGGTAATACTCCATAATAGTTAGTACGAGTACTTCTTCTGTCCTTTGTAGACAAGTAATTGTAATTGACATTTAAATACTTTTTCCATTTTATTATACTTTATCTATACTATTTGTATAAGATTTTATACAATTGAAAAAGATGGAAAGAATTAATATTAGATGAAATTAATGTGAGACTCCATTTAAAAAAAAAAAAAAAAAACCTTTTAAGAGAAACGAGACAAGTAAATAGGAATACCTTAAATAGAATATGAGGACAAATGAATTGGGGCCGAGGGTGTAATTGATAATTTGGTACAAAGGAGTATGTAAGTAATGTAACTAGCAACTAGTAACTATCCCAAACAATTAAGGACAAGGTTAATTATAAACAGCAAAGATTAGTAATTTACTCTAGTGAGTTTTTTTTACAGTTGAATGATTGAACATCTAGTGTTGATATAATAAGGTGGGACTCCTAATATAAATGCTGGACAGCAAGAGCTGCCAATGACGCTTTAAATACCCCAGTAGTTAAGTACCCCTGCCCTCGTAGGATGAATACAGTTGGCGAGAAAAGGCAAGCACAATGCGACCCAAGCGCATATTAAAGCTTACTTCATTTCTAAGAGGGCCCCAATTTTAATGCATCACTCATTTCATTTATGTGCTGATGAAAAACATCAGTAATTCATTTATACAACAAAAGACATTATTTTTTAGTGCTTTTTCTCCACAGGAAGTCATTGAAGTTGATCTAAGCAACTGGAATTCATTGGTTGAGGGACAGAAATAGATAGGTCCGAGAGAACCAGGAATAACTTGGTTCATTTCTTGTCTTTTCTTTTATGTAATTTTACTACTACGATGTAGAATTCACTAGTTCATAAGCCAAACGCGGGAAGAATTCTCTAAATTGCTGCTAGTAGTAAATTGAAGTAAATTAATCATTCAAGGGACGGTCCTAAATATAGATGGTGATACTTTATACCCCAGCAAGCCCTTAAGTATAAGGGATGGCGATAAGTTGGATAAAAAAAGATGGGATAAGAATTAAAAATGATGTTTTCCCTTATTTGGTATGGATTAAGAATTAGTGAAAATTGGAATTGTGGAGGTGTAGGCATAGTGCTTACTGTGCATATGTTGAACATTAAGCCTAACTTTAAAAAATATAAAGATTAAGTCCAATGAACATAATGTCGTCTTAATTGTACCTCTTATATTCATTGGAGTTAATTTTTTTTTTTTTTTTTTTTTTTTGGTGTGTGTGTGTGGGTTTAGGGAACCACAAGGGAGGGTGGCATTGGAGTTTTTGTTCATTGGATGTATTCTTCATCTTTTTTGAAGTTAGGTTTGATGTTCAACGTTTGCCTCCACCATCATATTTGCGGAGAACTAGATAGGATTGAACAAGAAAATTACTTAACTGCCTTTACTATATACTATTCCTAGCTCTCTCCTCTTTGTCATTCATTAAGGGTAAAAATGTATTTTACTATTTTACTCTTGCATTACTAATCCTCATATACCCTCCCTTAGCCTTAGGTATTATTTTGGACACAAATTCTTGATTAAGATGGACTTTCATTAATATTTTGTGAGACGGGTTAAAATTACCCTAAAAGTATTTAAGTTACCCTTATATATTACAAAAGTTACGATTTTTCTAACATAAATCTTACCCTAAAAACACTTATAATGTATTAGATTAATCATATTAGCCTTCATATCATGTATCCATTAGAAATTACTCATTAAAATACAATCAAACTCATTACTAATTACAATTGTTTTTAAAAGGGTTAAAGTTACTATAAAATTGTTAAAATTACCCCTTAAATTGGTCGTTTTACAATAAATTTAACGTAAGCCCGCCTTATACAAGATTTATTGGAGGAATAATTAGCTTAGTTTTATCCATATCCTGATTATCTTACTATCCCTATCCCTCTAAACAAATAAAAGAATTCTCAAATTCCTTCTCTTGTCTCCCTATCCCTCTTCAAGCTAATATGATTATGATAGTGGTAACTTAATAATTTACCCTAGTCCCCTTTTCACTCGAGTAGCCAACCCAAATTGACATACTACTACTTTGAGATTTGCTTGCCCAAATTGTTAACTACTGTATTCAAAACCAATTCCAAACGAATGCCATAGTGTCATGCTAGATGACCAAAATCTATTTTATCATTTTATGAGTTAATGCATTTTGTTTTACTTTTACACGTACGTACATTGTATCACATGTTCTCTAAAATCATGCAACACAATGAAAGGTTGTTTCCTTCACTAAACTAGTTCTATGAGATCACTCTTTGGAATGTTTAATATAAGTGGTCCCTAGTTTTTATTTATTTTTAATGTCAATTGTTAGTTGCCTGTCTTTTTCTTGCCTTGAGCTATATTCTGTTAAAAATATGAAAGGTTTATGATATCATATTTCTCGAGTGGATGATGGATTGATGGTGAAAACAAAATTTGTAGTAATCATAAGAGACTTTGGAGTTTCACACGGTTGATTGAGAAATGAAGATACCTTTAAAATCCAGTATTATCTCCCCTATTTAAAGTCATTAATGATTGATGAGGAGAAAGAAAGGATCCTTTGTTGTGCACAATATAGTGTTGTCCGTAACTATGTGAATGAAAGAAGAAAATGTGTGAGCCTACCACTCTCTTCCACTTGATAATATGATGGCATTCAAATTTATTACCACCTCTCTTAAATTCGTACGTTGTATAACAGTTCTTAAATATACATATATGTTTCCATACATGTGTTCATGAGGCCATGAACTATGCTGGTGCGTTATGATCTCTTGATTGTATACATTGTATGTCCTTATATATGTGCAAATTTTCTTATACATGTGCCCTCTAAAACCATGTGTTTTATGAGTGTTTCAAATCTTACACTTATGTATTATTTCTCCATCCCCTTAATATTGCAAGATAGAGGTTAGACAGATATTTTAAGAAGAGGAAAAAGATAGAGACCTATGTTATGAGAAAAGAGAAAAAGTGAACATGTATAAATAGGAAAATGTTACAATATTAAGGGAATGGAGGGAGTATAATTTAATAAGTATAGACTAAAACACATATGTTTGGGTGCATGATAATATGGTATAGGCAGTCTATTATCAATAATTGGATGTTCGTGAAAATTGCAAGTATTAGCTGACCATTTATGTTGATGGTAATCATCGCCGTGTTCATTGTCAACCTAGCTCTAATAAATGGAGTAAAAAGCTAAATTTATTGGAAAGGCTAAAGACAAAGACAAGTACTTGTATTTTGAATTGAAAGGAAGTAAAGATTTTAGTGATCAACCATTAGAAACATCTTAGGAAGCCACGTCACTGATTTCCTCTTGTACGAACTCGTAGTTTAGTCACCAATGCATACCCCATTGGAGATGAGCTCTGATTCTAAACTCTAAAGGGGATTTTGTATTCTTGCAAACCTTCCAATTTCCATAGTAGAAGTATTATTATTTATTAGTATTAATTATTAATAAGTTGGACATCTAAATAAAACTAAAACCAAAAAAAGAAATATGGGGAAAGATGAAAGAAACAAAGAAAAAACCCAAAGAATGAGACATCATCCAATGTGAGACACACTAAACACAAGAAAGTACTCAAGACCCATACCCCCCTTTTCTTTCCTCCCCTTTCTTTGTACTTTTCAATTTTTTTCACCCAAAAAAGTTGAAAGCAACAACACCCTGTCCCTCTCCCCTCCACTCATTTTTTTAATTATTATTTTTACCTTTCAAAATCCCATTTATTCATTATTTTACTAACTTACATTTTTCTACTTACTGCAAGGCTACAAACCCTTATATAGGAAGTCCTAACTCCCATATTTGTGAACATTATTTTACACATTACTCTCTACTTTCTACTTATATTTTCCTTTTCTTTTCTTTTTTATTTCAACTTTCTACTTATATACTCTGAACAAAGTAAGCCTAACTCTTTTCTTTTTTGCCTTCCTTAACTTGAACTATTTTCTCTCTCTTATTTGCTTACTTTTAACTCTTTTCACTCTCTAATTAGTAAGTGTAGTAGTCTTAATAAATTTTCTGCTTCTACGTTAAATATAGGCTTAGCTTTTCTTTTCTCTTGTCCTGCTAAAAAAGAAAGGCTATACTATTAAGCACAGCTCTTGCTTTGCTTTCTTCTCTATCTCTGTCTCTCTCTTCCTGATCCACACTGTTGTCATATTATTGGTTTGTAATGGAATCACTGTCAGAGAATGAATGGTTGGGAAGCCCAGATCAGTGTCCTTGTTCTGCAGCTCTTTTTTGTAAGTTTTTTTTTTTTTTTTTTTTTTTTTAAATAAAATTATAAAAATAAAATAGGCATTATTAGCTGTTATACTAGTTTTACATTACATCCCCTGCTTTCCTCTTTTTATTTCCTAATTGTTTGGGCTTTCTCTATCCTTCCAACTTTCTTGGATTATCTCTGCCCCAATGTTGACAGTAGTCTAGAAGTTTGTTATACAATCTGCTTGGTTTCTGAGAAGGTTTTTTTTTTTTTTTTTTCTATAATTTCCCAGGTATCTATTTTTGTAAATTTTACAGCTTTTCTTCAATCTTCTTCTCTTTTATATCCTTAATTTAGTATGCTTACTACTCTGATACCTGCTGTTATTCTTCTTTTTTATGTCTCTCCTGAAATTTGCCTATTTTGATTCCATTTTCTCTCCAAAAAAACCTTTTTGTAGTTTTGTGTAACTGGGTTTTTGGGGATGCAGAAATATGACTGTGGAATTTGGAATTAAGTTAATAGCAATAATAGAGGTCACTCTCCAATATTGCCTATTGAAGCCATACCCATTCTTAGCTGTCCTGTATCCAGCATAAAATTACTTTCTGGTTTATTTGTTGTAGTTCTTACATTTTTCATGTGGTTTGATACTTATCTTGGGTGAAAAAAATCATGTGTACCAGTCGAATTAAGTAACTTGATTTTATGTATTTATAGATTTACTTCTATGTTCAACTAAACGACTACGTTTATAATATTACTTGCACTTCACTTATGACTGGAGGAGGGCTTTTTGGGGCTCTTTCTGTCTCTCCCTCACTTTGTCTTAATCTTTATTGGTTTCTTAAGATTAATTTAATTCAATTTTGAAAATGACTGACTTTAACATATCTTTGTTGTTTTTATGTTAGTACTACCTCAGTGGAGCCTATATATCCTAATCATTACAAAGATTAGGTATTCACCAAATCTAGTCTAAAAATCTTGGATTAGTAAAGACTATCAATATATGTCTGTGAACTATTCTTGTATTGGCTTTTTTGAGACAGAGCAATGTTGAAGAATTTCTGCTAAGTATAGGGTTAATTTTCCTCATATCATATTAATTTATTGGTGTTACATTTTTATTACAGGAAGAAAATAGTAGGGTGGACAAAATTTGGGAGGGAGAAGGTTATTATATGGGCTATAAACTTACAAAAAATTACTGTGACTTGGCTGAGTTGAAGAAGGGAGGAATTGCTACTATTTCAGCCATTTTTGGGTCCTCTAGCTTTGATACAGAGAAGGCAATAGGAGAGAGGCTTGTGGATTTGAAACTTGGTAGGTTAGGTGACTTTGGAAAAGGATTAGTGAACAACTTCAAGGGTCATTCAAATTCTATTATGGACCCATTTTCACCAACAGCTGGATCATCAAAAAGGCCCCGAACGCCAGGTACCACTAGCCAAGTGGTTTCGTGCTTAGTGGATGGATGCAAGGCCGACCTTAGTAAATGCAGGGACTACCACCGACGCCATAAAGTTTGTGAGATGCACTCCAAGACCCCAAGAGTTACAATTGGGGGCAATGAACAACGCTTTTGTCAGCAATGCAGCAGGTAATTAATCAATTAACTTCTGGAGTTTCTTTGAAAATTGTACCTTTTTGAATTCTGATGGAGTCTGTGCTTATGTTGCTTTCATGTTCATTAAGGTAAGAACTGGCAATTCAGGTAAAAGACTCTATTCAGGTTTGGTTTTGGTTCTAAAATGGGTTATGCTTGAGTATATCCAAAGTCTATCACTACAACTATGATACCGGGTCAAATTAGTTTAATTTGTTCGAGTTTTTCTCAGTAGCTTCAGATTCGGTTTGTTATTGTAAGTGACTACTGATACTGCTAGTATACCCTTGTTGGCCTAATAATATTTGTACTAATATCGATTAATATCAATGGTTTGGATTTTATAGTGTTACTCCTTATGGAATAGCAGCATTATAGTGTTAACTGTGCTGTAAGTACTTCCTTGAACAGTTGAACTGTGGACTGATACCATAAATGACTATAGATGGAAGAGTTTGTCTTAAATTCTGCTCAATTATGACGCAAAGACAGTTTAAGTTAGTTAAGGTATTTTGGGTGTAATTTTTTTACCCCTAATAGTGCATACTTTATTTGCACACCTAAATTAGCTATAATACTCTGGCCGCTTCCTTCTTTGAACAAGCCCAGAAAAACATGAGGAGCTTTTATTTTTGCAGGATCTGGGTAGAATTAAATCATCATTGATTTGTATTTGTAGGTTTCACCCACTAGGGGAATTCGATGAGGGGAAGCGGAGTTGTAGAAAACGTCTTGAAGGACATAATCGTCGTAGAAGGAAGCCTCAGCCTGAACCCCTACCTGTGAATCAAGGAAATTTCTTTTCTGCTAGCCAAGGTTTGGATTATCCTTCAAAACATATGCATAATATGATCATCCTTAAAATCTTTGAGAATGTATTGCATTTTCTTTTAGTTATGAGATAGATTTTGTGCTCCCATTTATAGCTAGAGAAGCAAGCACAAGCAGAATTGTCTTAACCTGACCCACAACTTCCCTTGGTTGTTGAACTGAAACCTTTGTAAGCTGGAAAGCATTTGAATTTGGAAGAAAAGTGGTTAATTTGTTGAACATTTTGATAATACTGAAAATGGTTTTTTTTTTCTTTTTTTAGGTAGTAGATTTTTGGCATTCAGCAACCAACCAATAATTCCAGCTACATCAGTGGTGACAACTGCTTGGTCTGGAGCTGTTAAATCTGAGAGCAACCCGACACTCTACAACAGCGCGGCACCTAGTTCATACTCTCAGGCTTACAGAGGCAGACAGTTCCCATTCTTACAAGTTCCTGAATCCCCACTTACTGGAGTTTCTTCAGCTGGTCAAACACTTCATCACGATCCCAATAATGGTGGCGGAAGCAGCAGCAGCAGCAACAACAACAACAACACTAACAACCAGAAAACACTTTTCTGCAATAGCCTGAACCAAGTGATTGACTCGGATCGTGCTCTCTCTCTTCTGTCATCAAATGCTGAGACTCCCGAGATGGGTTTGGGCCATACTTTCCATCATCCGAGCCTAGTAAACCCTACTCGGGCAATGCTTTCAAGCCTGCACTACAACAGCGTTCCTTCTCAGTACCCAGGCTCCTCCCAAGGCCATGGTATGGAAGGACATCCTACAGGTTCTGGACTGTTCTCGGACTTACGGAGCAGTAACAGCCTCTGCCAGGATGTTTTCCAGAATAATACTGGTGCATCTTCTACTAGTGGAGGCCATCAAACACTTTCCTTCTCTTGGGAGTAATTCGTTTCTGTTGCGATTTGTTCGCTTGTCTAATCTTTTCCTAATCCTAATTAATCCTTAATAAAAAAAAAAATTACTTTGTTGTATGAAAACTTTATCTTTATTTCTAAGTCTTAAATGAGTTGGCTTTTCCTTGAATTTGGTTGCCTCTTAAATGCTTGACAATTTGTGTTTTCTGGGATACTACAGTCCCAAAAGAGATGTCTCACTTTGTAATTTAACCTACAATAATTCCAAACTTCCCTTACTTTGTTGAACCTGAGTTGTCTGCATACTGTAGGTCTGTAGCTCTTTAATTTGGCCGTTTCTGTTTTCAGTTTTCAAGGGTAATTTCTCAAAAATCACCCTTTGTAAAGACAATATTTTTACTGGGATTATGTACTTGTATTATTTATGCAACTTCTCTAGGAATATGTTACATGGACGAAATACAAGGTGCTACATGTCTAAAATCTAAACTACAGGTTTGTTTTCTTCCTACTCCGTATAAAAAAAATAAAAAATAAAAACCTCTTTCGGCTTGTATATGAAAATTAGAGTTTTCAATACTACTTCACATTTTACTGTTACTAATTGCTGAAGAATGTATTCAGATGTACAGTTTATTTTAATCTTAAGTGGCTAAGAATGGTGGTTAAATTTGAGTGGATAGTTAGCCAGGCAGGTGTCTTTAGAGCCCTAAGATTGTACGGAGTATGAAATACGGAGTTTGGGATAATAATACTCCGTATCGAACACTAGATTTGAAGTTCAGTTTAAATTATTACCTTTCAGTAAAACTGGCAATCGTGTCGTATTCGTTTTCGTGTCGGAAATTAAACGGGTTGGGGAAGGTCAACACTAACCGACCCATTTAATAAACGTGTCGTGTCGTGTTGATCCAATTAATTAATCGTGTCGAAAACCCTTAACAATAACCCACTTTATTCGTGTTCGGTTCGTGTCGTGTTGTCGTGATGAATTGAAAAATATTGGTCTTGTTCAATAGATTTATCAATAATTCCATAAATTATTGGGTTTTTATATTAGGCGGGTTGAGTTGTGTTAATTTCGTGTTGAGAATCTCAACTTTAACCCAACCTATTTAATTACACGTGTCATGTTGTGTTAACCCGTTTAATTAAACGTGTTAAAAACCCTTGATACTAACCCGTTTCCTTTTTTGTGTTCAATTCGTGTCGTGTTATCTTATCGTGTCAGTTTTTCCAGCTCTATCTTTCAAGGCTTTTTAATTACTTTGATAATTGACAACTAGCATAATACTAGTAACATCCAATTTACCTATAACAACTAGTTCAACATTTATTTATTATTAAAGTCATGTACTTAAAACCTGAGTTTGAACTGGTTTTTACTTATCAATATTGATTTTCTACTAATTGAAACGAATTTTTATTGACTATAATATTTTCTTCGATGTTGATATTTTTTTTTAATACTACGTAATTAATTGAACTAGTTTTTGCTAATCAACATACCTTTAAATCCTTTATCAAACTATTGCTAATATGTATAATAAAAAAAAACCAATAAAACTTGTACACAAAAGTAAGAGAGTGAATCATATACAGTAATCCTGTTCTTTTGAGCTTCTAAGCAAAGCAGAGCAGAGCAACTTATTTATACTCAGCAGAGCAAAGCAAATTTTAATAGAGTAGAGCAGACCACAACAGCTCAAAAGAAACAGAACCTAAAATTTTAATTTAGAAGTAATGATGGCCAATTAATAGACATGTGAATATACCATTCTGGGTAAAAATGCTATACTTTTCCTTATAAGTGGACTTGTACTTTTGCTAAACATAACATCCCAAATTGTAAAAGGTTTCGAGTCTCTCAAAATAATGTCTTTCACATAAGATGTGGTGAGTGGTAAGCTGGTAGCATATTATTGTTTATATACTGTAGTAAACAAATATTCCGTAAATATTTTATAACTAATGATATTTGCATAATTAAACATCTTGAACTTCACTGTGTTTTTTTTTTTTATGGAATTCTTAATTATGTTTTATGTGTTTATTGATTAACGTGCATGCAAGACTTCTGGCAGCATCATCCGAGTCATTTTTAAAAAAAATTAGTGAGTTACAAATAATTTAGATGACCCTTCTCTCAAGGTGGAATCAGTGAATTATTAAAATAACTAGATTTACTATTATAATATAACATCCTTATAATAACACCAATATATGCATGAAGCATGATATTTTGAGTTGATTTCTGTTAAATTAATTATTTTATCATTATAACTTTCACACAAATGTTACAAGTTTGACAATAATCAAAATTTAATTTTCTACTCATAAAAGTTATGGAAAAAAGTCACATGGCTGTTAAATATCTACATTCTACCATTAATATTAAACGGAGTGTATGGTACAATTGGCAATCTTTAGAGTGATCGAGGTTCGAGGAGGATTTTAATAACAAAAGTAGGTTACAAGGACGAGGACATGTTCGTGTTTACTCAAAGAAATTGGCTTCTTCAAAAACCAGTCAACTTTCTTTTTTGGGTGCTTTATTTTAATACCATTTTTTTTTTGTTGTGTAGACACCTAAAAATGTCTTCTCAAAATTAAATCCGATGATGAACAATCTTCCACCGTCATTATTGGCCGGGTCGAGTATTTAATCTCGGGAGTGCTTAAAATCCATGTTCAGTCAAACACATCAGTCAACAAATCAGTCAAAACATGTATTCGAACATTGTCCAACTCTCATTGTAGCCCAAACCCTTTTTAATCCATTTCGTTATTAATTAATTAAACCCGATTAATAAGTAATAAAACCCTAAATAAGTCCGGAACTCTGAAACGGTGCCTAAATATCACGTACTTAATGATTAAGAAAAAGGGTTAAAATGAATTTGGACGGAAATCGGGAAAACAGATGACACGACAAATCCTGCTGTGACGCGACAATTTTTAGGTTTTCCTCCGCAGCGCATTCATTTCTAGGGTTTCGTGCATCACCTTGTTCGTTTCTTTTATAAATACGAGGCTGATTTCTCAGTCTCGGAGCACCAAACAATTCTCTCTTTCCCTCTTATACACCAAAATATTTTGTCTTTCTCTCTTATGCTCTAGCCTAAACACTAGCCTACCCTATTCTTCCACCATACATCCTTTAAGCACTCTCCGGAGTCCATACTTTACCCGAGGTTCTAAACTTAAGCCAAAGTGTGAAAGATAGAACTGTTTGAGGGTTTGGCCCCAAATCAACTTTTATGTAATTTAATTTAATTTCCATTATTATTTATTATTTTTATTGAAGTTACTAACAATTTATTCATGATGTAGCAATTCAAGGAAACGCGGAACGTGAGTAATTAATTCACTTAATTACTCTTTTTATTGTTCTTGTTAGAATCATGATTAGGTTTATAATTATGCTTTGATTTGACTAAGGTTATTATGGTTAAATTGCTTCCAATATTAATGTTTATTCTATTATTATTATTATTGATCAAATGTTTAAAGGCAATATGTAATTGAATATAATGCCTAATAAGATAATTTGGACGACCGATTTAGGTTTCTTTTTAATCTTGTTGTTAATTGAAGTGATCACAATATTTTAGAATTATGTGTTGCGTTAATATTCAACCAATTTAGCCTAATATTAGTTTGAAGCAAATTTAATCTTTGTTTGTGTGCCTTTGAGATCGCAGGAATACTTTCACTATAAAAATCGAGTAGAGACCAATACGGGCGAACGTGACTCCATGACTCACTTCGTACCATCATCCCCAATCCTCCTTTCGTGATTCCGAACCATATGAAATTAGTAATTTCATGGATTATGAATGGGGTGTAACCTTCGCGGGTCAATCGTTGTTGCCTATTGTTGTCCCTTTTCGTGGTTGTTTTAAATGATCCGTGAACGGTTTACAAATTCTTTAAAAACTTGTTGGCGGCTCACTACTTTGCTTTATCCCTAATCGTTGTCCCTAATCGTATGTCAATTCCCACTTCATATGAGTGTCAAGTATATTCACAATATGCTTAACGTAAGTGCGCTTTGAATGACACCTACAGTTTGGATAGTAAATATTTTATAGGTCACAATTGTCGCTTTAATTTGTTTCAGAGAAGATTACAGATTAATTATTGGCGCCACGAGAGAAGCTACATGTCTCATTTGAGTTTTAACTTATAAGTCTTACCAAAAACAGTATGTAAGAGAATTCAAAGTATCAAGATTAAAAATCATGGAGCAATTATTAATTGTTCTCTTTAGTCTGCTCCTAAATTGTTTTCACTGTTACAATTATCATGGAACAATTATAAATTCACACTATTGAAAATCATGGAACAATCATAAATTCTCACTATATTACAAATATCAAAACACAACATTGCATCTCGTCAAATTCTTCTCCATATATACTATTAGATTAGATTATCAAAGTTATATAATTTTACGCATAAAAATTCGATATAGCAAGCAAAAAAATTATAATATACAAAAACTTAAGAGAACAGAGCAAATAAAAGCGTGTACATAAAAATAAAAAAATAAAATAAAATAATAATAATAATAAAAAACTTTAATCCAAAATTTTTGATCATAGGAAATCATAAAACTATAAGCAAGACTATGTTTATCACCTTGATCGAGGATTAAAACAGTCAATTCCACAATAAAGTGAAGGACAAATTTGTACTCCCTTTGTCGTTTTATTAGAGACCCATTTCTAATATTTGTTACTCACGTAATAAAGAGAAATGGGTCTCTAATAAAATGACGGAGGGAGTAATTGATAATGAATAGTAACTTAACCTTCTTACTAACATAGTTTAATGTCTGTGTGTCAAAAAAAAACATCGTTTAATGTCTAAAGCAAGGCCACCACCTTCATCTTTCTTGTTCTTCATCAGATTCACAATACACACACCTTCTTCCTCTCCCACTTTCATGTTCTTCCTCTTCCTACCCACAACCACCTTCATTATCACCAACACCATCATGTTCATATCCGACACCCACCTTCATCATCACCAACACCACCATGTCCATATCCTATCCCCCTATTCGATACCGACATCATCGCCAACACCACCATACATCAATTCATAATTAGGGGCTCAAACATACCTATAACAGGAAGTTGGGCCTAGGATCAATATGTAATTTATCAATTCAAATATAAAACGAAAATTATCACAATATACATTCCTAATCTCAATAAAAATACTAGCCCAACAATTGCTTCGTGTGTTTTCATAGTTGCCTCGGGCCCAAAAAAATATGC